TAATTTAACTTAATTGTATTATTAGTAATTAAATATTAATATGATTAGATTAATTAATATAACTTAAAATATATATTATTAAATATATAAATAATAGTGTCAATAATAATTAATGAGTAATTCACAAAACATTAATTTTTATTTTTAATTAATAATTATCTTCTTCATATTTAAAGTCATAACTGTCATAAATACTGAAATATGTTATCAAATAGTTTCTTAAGATTTAATATGATTTAAACATTTGACATACTAAACATTTTTAAAAATTTAACACATTTCAGATTTACTAAATCCGAATTTACAGGATTTATTAAATCCCACTTGTTGCGAAACAGCTCCTAATAGAATCCATTATGGACTTGAATCCATGGTGAACAACAGTATGCAATCCATAAACATTAAAACAAGATAGAATAATTTAAATTCTCTTATCAATAGAATAATTATATTTGCTTTTGGACATCCTTTATTTGCTGGTCTATGTTCTCAGTTGCTATGTTGAGGGTTCTCTTGATGGCCGGCTCCGTCTCAAGATGGCCTAGAACGAGGTGATTGTCATTTAGGCTTCGTTTGTGATGATTTTCTTACTGCTTCTTAAAGCAGCTTTTTAGTACAACAAATAAAATTTTATGCTAAAAAGCTGTTTTAAGAAGCAATAAGAAAGCCATCCCAAACGAAGCCTTAGTGTTGCATAAATTAATTTTTGAAGGATGCAAAATATTGCTATTGTTAAGATATGAGTGTAGATTGCTTTTATTTCATGAAGAAAATGCTTATTAATAGAGAAGAAGCATGCCATTAACAACCATAAGAAGAAGCTCAGGACTTGATTTTATAATCATTAGGTTAATTTGTTAAAAACTTTATGTTAGAAAATTCGGAATATCAGAATGATTTGAACTTATTGTAATTTAATTTGATATTAGTGTTCTAAATGAAAATTTTTTATTGTATTAATCTTAAAATAAATTCAATTATTTTTAGATCGATCATTATATAAATTATATTAGGATATTTTAACATATTTTTTATATAAATTTTAATTTATTAATTATATGTATTATATTGATGTTACAATAAGTTTAATGAATAAACATGCACAATTTTGGCATACATAATGCAGCAAAAATTATGAAATTACTGCTGCTCATAATCTCTTTAATTTTTTTTACTGGCAAACAATTTTTTATAATATACATAGTAAAATTAGTATTTCTCCCATCTTAGTAGGCATGATCAACAACTGTTTGCTCGTGCAGATGAAGAAATAATTGAAAAAAACTCTCAATAAATTTGAATATTAAATGTATGCTAAACCTAAGCACGCATCTTTAGACAACCTTCAATATTTCAATAAGAAATATCAATACAAATTCTTTAAAATCAAATAGGAGAAAGACAATATAACCAATAACAACAAATATGTTGATGTTATGTGATTAACCAAAGTAGAGGGAGCATCTCTCCCCTTGGAACTCAGGTAAGAGGTTTCCATTAGGTCCTGCAGCAAACTCACAACTTACATGCATGTTGTGGTGATGAGTGTCCCAAGTAGATAGTTTGAATTGAACTACTGTATTGAGCTCGAGCCGCAATGTCACCTGATTCGTAGTTGCATCAATGGCAACGTCTTGCCCGCCGGCGATGACAAACTGGCCATGAATTTCGGTGGTGTTCTTTGCTGGTTGGTAGAATGCAGATTGGACAATGCCAGTTGCTAGCTGACGGTCATTATAAAACACAGTAGCATTAATGTTGTCATAGTAGATAGCAATTTTAGAGTTGGGATTACGATCAGAGACATCGAAGGAGAGGGTGGAAAGAGAGGGGGCGGAGAAGGAGGAGAGGTAGAAGCGGGGACGGTGGGGACGAAGGCTAAGCCAAAGGATAAGGATGATAATACCAGAGATGAGAAGGAGGGTGAGCAGGATGGAGCATAAAAACATGGCGATGCGGCTAGTGAAGCTTTCACGGACACGGCGGGCATAGAGACGAGTTCTAGCTGCACGGGTCTGGTGTTGGTAGAGATGGAGTTGGGAGTGGAGAGCACCGGCGGATGGGGAGGAGGAAGACATGAATGCAATGGCAAGGGTAAAAGGAGAGGAAGGGGATTGTAGGTGAAGGGAAGATGAGAGTTTAATAAGGCAGAGAAGGAAGGACAGTTATGGTGGTTTCTTGTTGCTTTTGGCTGGAGAAGGAAAGGAATAAAGTTTGAAAACTTATTTTTTAAAAAAATATATAACCTTTTAATCTTGTGACAAAGAAAAAACTTCATACATACATAATTTCAGCTGTTACAAACGAGCTCACAGTTTTTTAATGAAAAGTTATGGATAACGCCTTGATGTTAAAACAAAAATGTACTTGGAATATATGGCAATCGTGCTATGAAGGTCACATCGCAGACTTTAATAGATGTGCTAAGAATACATTTGATTGATATAATCAGAGCAGTTAAGGATAATTCATTATTATCATCTTAATATAACAACAAGAGGAGGGTTTAGTCAGCCCAAGCCACCAGTTTTCATCCAAAAGAAGGGATGGAAAGAGAAAAAAGGTGAGATAAGAATCTTTACTTTCGGCATTCAATTTAAAGTCCATCTAAATGATTCTCTATAGTGATGATTTTCTGAATGTATGACCAATGTAGCCACTAAAGTACAAGATTACTTGATTGTCAGCTCACACCAAGAATAAAGTAACCAAGTTCATGAAGATGCCACCAATATAAGATCTATTACAAGTAGATATAAACAATCTTATTCCTGTATCAACTAGATATAGTCATGTCCTTGCCTCACCACCTGCCCACCTTGATCTCAATTGTTCTTACCATTTTATTTCAAAGGAGTGGTAGATTCTGAATTTTACGACCAATTCAACAAGATAAATTATTCCTCTAAAAACTACCATACAAGCAACTAAACAGCTTTAGACAAATCAAAATACACTGCATTTATTTTATACTCTCAAAATATACATTCCAAATAAGCATTCCAACCATACAACCCTGACAGTGTTCACCATAGTACAATAAAAGACTAAGAAAGATCATACTTCTTCATACCACAGTTATCGCAATAAGTACTTTTATGCAGCCTCCATCATTTGCTTACAAATTCTAAAGGTGCCACACAAATCAATATCTCTTGGATATGTGAGGAAGAAAGCGTTTCTTCTTTCTGTCATGATAAATCCTCACAATCACAGCAGCAGTCTCTTCAATGGCCTTTCCAGTGATCTCTGAAACCAATACAAGACATAAGCAATTAGAATAGAAACAAATCATAACCTTACACCAAATAAAACTATTACTACTTCTATTCACTTACCTATTACTGGCCATACAGGATTCCGTGCAAAAATTTTTTTAGCAAATTCCAATTCTTCCCTGACATGTTCCATGTCTGAATAATTACTCATCATGCCACCTTTGAGTCCCAGGGTCTTGGTCCTTGCCTTTCTGATAGTTTGTAGCGCCGCTGGATTTATGGTTAGACCAAAAATCTTCTCCTGGTTAATATCAAATAAGGACTTTGGGGAATCTACACCCACAACAATGGGGACATTTGCGACCTTGTAACCTTTCTGAGCTAGATAAATGGACAAAGGTGTCTTCCCGGTACGAGAGACACCAACAAGAACAATGTGGGCACGGTTCAGGTTTTGAGGTAAAGCTCCATCATCCTGCTTGATGGTGAATTCGATAGCCTCTATGCGTTTGAAGTAATCCTCTGTGAGTGGATTCCGACCAGGAGCACCTCGCGGGATGCCAGATGGAGCTACACCAATATGGGCGGCAATGGCCTCTATAGTGGGACCCAGAATATCCGTCGATGGTACTCCCCAAAGCTTGCAGGCTTGTTTTGCGGATTCAGCCATTGAAGGGTCTGCAAGGGTGTAGAGAACAAGAGCACCTTCTTTTGCTGCTTGCTTTATGATCTCTATCAGTCTATCTGCATCTCCAACCTGAGAAAGATAAAAGATATAGGATTACTAAATTGAAAATATTATACAACTGTGCATAGAAAAATAGTCTGACCAAGCAGAACCTAAAGTAACCAAAAAGAATAGTTAAATTTGTGCACATTAAGCTATGGAAGTTAAGCAAATGCATATTCATTTTAGCCTTAATCAAAACTTCCTAATAACTCATAGTGCGTAAACACTAAAATGTGCAAGCTTAGATAAGCTGATTTATCATAAGAATTGATAACCTAGCAACACTTGGGACTGTCTGCAAAAGAATTTGGAGAACTATAAAAGGGACAAGTCTACAAAGAAGTTTTTTAAACTAAGAATATAATTTAATCCAACGAAAGATTGAATAAAATGTTTGTAATAAAAAGGTGAAGCAAATGCATAGGAAAAAAGCATTACTGCCACTCATTGAGAACATGCAAGTGTGCAATTAGAACATAAAAAAAGGAATGCAACAAAAATAAAGTTAATGGTGTAAAGAGAGAATCAACACTATTAACAGCACAATTTACTACAATTTCAGTATTTCGGGCTCTAATTCAAAAACACTAAAAAGAAAGTATTACCATAAAATAAGAATTTTGCAAATTAAATATCCTAAACAATCACCATCATGATGAACATTCTAAGCTCCGTTGAAATCCTAGTCCTCTAATATTAGTCAGACACACTAGTCAGCAATCCATGCTGCCACTAAAAACTCTTGAAGTAGGTGCGATAAAAGTCCAAATCCACCAAGTCCGACAAATCAGATAACAGTGAAGTATACAATCGTCTTACAAGATTTAACAGCACCAATGCAAGTCCATGGGAGACCAGCAGCAATGAAAAGGCAAGAAAAGCAATGGTAGTTGGAACCATAATGTGATGGTTAACTGTTTCAGACCAAGGAAACCTGACAAATCTAAGTCCCCTGATGCCATAGTATCTCACCAATAATCACCACAAGAGCAAGTTCCTTGAGAAAAATGATGAAACCTGCGTGTATCCCTTATGACAAATTGCCGAGCTACAACCTTTGATATTAATTTAATGGCATCATGGCAATCCCCACATATTCGAAGGTTCTTAGAAATTCTAATAGGAACGTTAGGGGGAGCCTTTAGAAGACCAAAAGCAATAGCTAATCTCTCACTATGGCTACGAAGCAGCCTTTTCTTATCATCCTCCTCCACATCAAGTAAGACACATTTGGTAGATGGCACATAACCCGCCTTTATTATCATATAATTCAATTCCTCCAACTTTCGGTAAATACTTTCAGATTCTGAATTTGATTGGTCATGTGCTCCAAACACATATACCTTGTTCTTTATTTCAATCCAGCTGCAACCAGATCTCTTTGACAGCCCTTTAACTGCCATCAATCTTCTCACTCTACCCACATCATACCATCTCCCTGCTAAGGCATATATGTTTGACAATATTACATAATTGGTTTCGTTATATGGTTCAAGCCGAAAAAGCTTCATTGCCAATTTCTCTCCAAGCTTCACATTGCAATGCACTTGACAAGCTCCAAGGAGGGATCCAAGTACAGAACCTGTTGGTGGCACTTCCATTCTTTCAATCAAATTTTCAGCCTCATTCAGCCTTCCTCCTCTCCCCAACATATCCACAATACAAGCATAATGCTCTGCACAAGGCTCGAAACCAAATCTCTCTTTCATTGACTCAAAAATCTCCAATCCCATATCTACCAGCCCACCATGACTGCAAGCAGACAGTACCACAATCAAAGTGAAAGGATTGGGCTTCAAACCTTGGCCTTGCATCTCCTTAAACAATTCAAGAGCCAGCTCAAACCTTCCATTAATTGAGAAACCTTCAATCATTGAAGTCCATACAAAAACATTTGGTTTCTCCATACTACTGAAAACTTTAAAAGCTTCATCAGGATTTCCACATCTAGAATACATTGTGACAAGAGCAGAGCAAACAATAAGATTAGAATCAAACCCATTCCGAATTGCATAAGCATGAATTGATTGGCCCTTCCTCAAAGAAGAGAAGAAACTGCAAGCAGGCAATAATGAAACGAGTGTAATCTCATTAGGTCTAATAAATTCCTCAAATTGCATCCTAGAAAACAATGTTGCCGATTCAGTGAAGTGCTTTGCGGAGGAACTAGCACGTATCATTGATGACCACGATACAACATCACGATCAGGCATTCTACCAAACACCTTCTGTGCACTACAATCATCTCCAAAAGATCCGTAAGCATGAATAAGTGCATTCCCAACAGATAGAAAATAACCAAAACCACACTTCATTATCAGTGAATGCAAGTTAGTACTCAACAATCGTAAACTCAAATCAGTAGATGCCTTCAGTGATGCCGAAAATGTATATGAATCCAGTTCCAATCCATGCTCAAGCATTTCACAAAACAGCTTAATCGCTAGGTTGGGTTTCTCATTCCTAACATACCCGGTAATCATGGCAGTCCATGCAAAGGTATCCAAGTTCCTTTTGGGAATGTTATCAAACACCTCTCGCGCATCATCAGCCCGACCACACACACAGTAGAACTTCAGTAGCTTAGGGAGCAAAACTGGATTCCTCTCCAACCCAGCTTCCCGAATCTTAACATGCAGCTCCCTCCCCTGTTTCAGTGATCGAGAATCGATGCACGACTGAAGAAGAACGCCAAACTCCGAAGAATTCGCCATCTGAAACTTGCTCCGAAAAACCTTGGCTGAACCGGAGTTCGTGTGAAGCCCAGGAGCGAAGCATGGGTTTCGGGTTTGACCGCCAATCATGGATATCTGATCAATACTGCTGAGCACTTCCACCAGTTTTTCATCTATAAAAATCCAAGCTTTGTGGAGGAGAAAAAACCTTACGAGATAATAAGATAAGAAGATGCCAAAGAAAAAAAAAAATTTGTTTTTTTTTTAAGTTAAACGTTTGATGCCTAAAAATTTAGTGGAAAAAATTAACAAATTTTTAGTCACACTCTTAATTCATGGCTGCGAATAAAAACATTGAGTGTTAATAAAAAAATAAATTAATGTAGCAATTCGCGTTCACTAAAATTAAGGAAAACAAAACACAAGACTTATAGAAAAAGACGAGCTTACCCCAGAGAAGAGCTGGGGATGAATGGGACAGCCACGATCGACGAGCCAGTTCTCGAACTGACCTAGGGCGGTGTTGACGGAATGCTCCGCCGTCCATCCGGTGCCGTCGGAGACCATGTAAATCGGCTTCCCGTCGGCCCGTGGCGTCACTGCGGTGTCCTCCTCGCTATCGCTCGAATCCGACGAGAGCGACGGCGTGATATCGCCCACAGGAGAAGAGGGGGTTTTGATGCGGAGAGAGAGTCCGCGTCCTGAGCGTAGGGCTCGAGCTCGAGACCAACGCGTGAGATTGGGACTGGCTTTGGGTGAGATTCTCGGTGAAGTGCTACCGGATGTCTGATCGCCGGTGGAATCGGCGGCTTCGTCTTGTTTGGGAAGGCGGGACGGGGAAGAGGAGCGTTTCGGTAGGAGATTTGTCGGCGAGGTAGGGGCAGCGACTAATCTCGGTGATGATGGAAGAATTTTTTGTTGAATCATTTTCCAAATCTTCGGAGCTTTTTCACATTTTGATGTCGGAGTGGCGGCTTTATTCTTTTTTATTGAAGTTTATCGGATCGGCATCGCTTGTTTGCGGTGGAGAAGAGTTTCATTTTAATTTAAATTTTGGGGATTTATAAATTCTAATACAAATTATGAAATAACTAGTTTTATAAAATTATTAACGGAAATTTCAAAATAAAAATTTTAATAATTTAATACAAAATATTACAAATTTATAAAATTTATATAACGCCATTTATATCAATAATCAAATAAGCCATTAAAAAAATACTTAATAATGATCTCATAAAATTTAATATCACTGCCTTAAAAAATGTTTAAGATTAAACTGAATTTATTACTTTTACCACATACCTAATGGCCACAATTCTTCAGCTCTATTTTAAGCATATGCTCTCTTATTTTTTTATATTAAAAATAAAAATAGTAGTAATGATATTTAAGCTTCCTATGAAATAATTTTTTTATTATTTATTAAAATAATATTTTAATAAAAAATTTTAAATTCACTAATCTTATAGACTATTAGATTAAGCAAAATTTACAACAAAGAAATACTGAATCCTCCGGGTAAAGGTAAAACTGATTGGACTAAAAGATTAATTTATATAGTCTCATACAAAAACTGATATTCTTTCATACTACAATATCCTCTAGGTCTTGTTTTGATGTGCGACTCCGCCCCTCATACTCTAACTTCACACCCATATTTACTGAAATAATCTTAAAATTAAGTCTAATAGAGTCCATCATCTCTTGAACATTTTGATTCTCCGGTTGAAAAAGAGGATAATTCTCCGCTAGCTCTGCCAACTGGCCAATTCTCTTCTGAACACGAGAAGAAAAAGAATTTGGGTCTATCATGATAGCTGATTTCCAAACTTCTATACAACCACGATAAAAACCCAGTTCCTCACCAACTTCAAATCCATGCTTCAAGCCAACCTCCCTCCCCTCCTCTTTTCCAGAGGCCACGCCGTCTCTGTAACCGTCTTTGAAGCCCTCTTCATATTGGGTTTGCTCCAAGAGCACTGTAGAGTCGAGAAAATCCGTGAGAAGCCGAGCTGTAGGTGCTTCCATTGCTCCAGTAGTTAAGGAAGAATAAGCAGTAATGGCTTCAACAACAACGAGTAAAAACCTGCAAAGTAAACTAGCGCCATTGATTCATTGTTTAGAGAAAAACTATCTATTATCAGCAAAATAGAAGCTCTAATGAAATGACAAGTCATTCCTTCTTAAGAAGATGTACCAAGCTAGTTAAAAGAAATCTCTTAGACAAGCAAGTAGTAAGATGATGAATCTATAACATAAGAAGTCAACTTTAAAAAGTGTAGAAAGTGCAATAGGAGATAGAGAGGGGCTCTCGTATGTAGCCTTCCCCTTGCATTTGTAGAAGTATATTTTATAGGCCCGAGCTCATGACTTCCAGATCACAATGGAAGCAAAGCTTCCCTATACTTTGACAAATTAATCGAACAATGCCAATCTATTATTAAATATCTTTTATCTACAGCTAAACATATAAGTTATTCTTCATCCAAGCTTTAGTTCATGCATTCAATAAAAAAGGAATAGAATTTAAAGAGCAAAGGGAAGTGGATGGATAAATATAAGGCCCTTTAGGAACAATAATTAACCCGAGTAGAGTACATGATAATCTTTGAAATAAATGTCATAGTTTATATATCATATTTAATTATATTTACATTTTTTAAATATAAAAAATGTAAAATTTTCATTAAATACAAGATGAATCAAAATAATAAAATTGAATAAGCATAAAAAGCAAAACATGCTCTTCCCCAATATGAAGTTCATTAATTTCATTAACAACAAGACAATCAAATATCTATCATGAATAACATGCATCCTATATTTATTATTGTAAGCTAAATGATAATGGAAATCTTCAAAAAGGGACGTGATGCTTGACCTCTAAATATAGATTTTCTTTAGGGAAGCAGATACATATGGTGGAGGTCTCCTTTTAGTTCAGTAGAGGCATTCACTGTTACTTATAATGCTTGATGTGTAAGTGAAAGAAATAAAATTAATTATGGAACTTAATAACTCAATTTATGTAGCAAGAAGCAATACTTCTTAACCACAAAGCGATATTAAACATGTTGATGGATCATAGTTTCTTTTAGATTTATTAAAAGATCCTTAAACTAATACTATATCACGATGCTTTAATTAAAAATGTAGTTCTAAGTATTATTAAGATAAAATCTATGAAAGTTCAAAGGATTTGTAAAGGTATGAGCTAAGATTGCAGGATACTAATTATGATTGACCTCATTTCTAATCAAGATTGATAATTTCTTTCTTTTAAACTTGTTGCATTTAATCAATTTACTCAATGCATAGATAGAGCAAAGGTGATCCCCTATGGGATTTGATATGTGCTTATTCCTTGAATGGTGACTCCATATGGAATTGATTAAATTTTCTTGCATGTTGTTAATACCATTAACCTTAGAGTCTAAAGGTTTTTGTTGAGTTGATTTAAAATTGAATGCATGAAGTATTATTTTAGTAGTAATAGATCTAGCAGGGGGATTGTAACTTTGGGCAATCAAGCATTAAAAAGAGTACACGTTTTAGATATCTTAGGTTTATTGTTCAAAATGACTGTGAAATAGATGAGGATATTAATAGTAAAATTTAAGTTGGAGGGTTGAAATGAATGAATGAATTGAGTATGTTGTGTAATAGAAAAGTACTCTCAAACTTAATGGGAAAATTATATAAGATGGTGGTGAGATCTGCAATGCTTCATGGCACAGAATGTTGGGCATTAAAAGAGAAGCATAAATTATATTAAATGTTACAAAGATGAGGATTCTCAGGTGGAGTAGCTTCACCTTAGAGACAACATGAAATGAGTATATACATGAAAATGTTGGAGTGACACCGGTGTTAGATAAGATTAGGGAGAGTCCCCTTAGATGATTTGGTCACATAAAACAGCGGCCTTCGAATGAATTAGTTAGGAGATTAAATGTATTAGAATTGGCCTATGTTAAAAAGGTAGAGGTAGAACTAAAAAACTTGATTAGAAAGTATAAGAAATGATTCTTTTTTACTAGATATAAATGAGATCTTAACATAGCACAATTAACACGACACAATGGAGAAAATGATTCATGTTGCCGACCTCATGTAGTGGGATAAAGGCTTGATGTTGATGCTATATAGTTATAAGATGGAGCGAAATTGACTCATAAGATACCAATTTGGTGCTGCTAATGATGCTGTAAAGAGGGGAAGTGTCTTCCTCTTGTTCAGAATTTCATATTTGCAAAGATTCATGTCGAGTAATATGAAGGGTTAAGGATGAGACAAAATTGACAGATCGAGAAGACCAACAGTAGGTAGCTTATGCAAATTGAAAGCAATTGGATTTTAGCAGAGAGGAAAGTGTTGGTAGGTACTTAGGAAGAAAGGTAGTGCTAATAATGTATTTTAAAGTTTTGGGAAATGAAGGGTTCTGATAAGTGATAACGAATGGTTAATATTAGAAGTTTTAATGAATTTGAAGATACTGAAAGGCTTGATTAAATCCATAAGAATGGTTTAATCTGAAGATGAAAATAACTATAATTCCATAAACAGATAAAGACCAAACGTTTCCAAACTTCTTGAAGGGAAGTTTGCAATGTCATTAGACAATAAGATTAAAACTTACTTAAAATATTCAAATCAGGAATTTATTATTCATTTGAATTTTTCTTTTACTTTCTAACCCTCTTTATAGAGATAAATAAAGATATGCCACAATAAAATTGTGCACAAATAACAAAATACATCAAAAAAATCATGCAAAAAAAAAAGCAATCTTCTCTAACAAATGTTCTCAAGAAGGTATCCAAAAAAATAAAAAGAATTTCAAATTAGCATAAAGTCTCTTCATCTCAAACAAAACTTGAATAGCTAAAAAAATCAAGTTTAAAATTGAAACTCTCCACTAAATGGGGAGAGAGAATCAGGTAATCCAAGCAATACCTTCTGTTGAGTTGACGGAAAGGCCTCTGCCAAGTCAGTGGAGAATAATTTAGCCTCCTATTATAGTACACAGGAGCTGATAAATGTACAGTTTTGTGAAGACGAAGGGTTGGATGACAACCTTTAAGCCCTGTTTGGATGCACGAATTAGGCCAAATTTAGGCAAGATTTGAGCTAAATCCTGCCAAACGCCAAAAAGAATACAAAGTTCAATCTCACGGTAAGTCTAATCTCTACTTCAAGGAGTATTCGCGATTTTTTATGCTATTTGATATTGGATTTACAGCGGGATTAAGTCGGATTTACGCTAAATCCAGCCAAACGGTTTTTGTTCGGGCGTTAAATCCCGGCGATGGGCAAATCCCGGATTTAAGGATTTACGGCTTAAATCCCGGATTTACTAAATCCCTCGGTTCGGCGAATTTATGGGATTTGGCCGAAGAAGCGCGCGAAAGATAGAAAGTTACCTTCACAGCCAGGGATCTCCCGTTGTTGCTTCCGATCAAAATGTCGTAACTTCCGATCCGACAGGACGGTAAAGTCGTCGAAGGAGCGAAATCGACCAGCCACGAAGGAGCGACGCGTGCAATCTCTGCACCTCAAAACAACGACGAAAAGAGAAGATGAATGCAAACCTAGACGGCTCTAAGTAAATATTGATTAATTTAATTAATATAATTTAAATATTAATAATTAATGGTGTAATTAGTGCATAACTTAATTATCTAATTCAACTTAATTGAATAATTAATAATATAATTAGTACTTAAATATTATATACTATGCCTAATTAATATAACTTAAAATATATATTATTAAATGTATAATTAATACTAAATAATAATTAATGAGCTGAATATAATTAATACTTATTTATGTGTGCGGTGTGGCTGATTGTGGTGGTATTAAGGGTTAGTGACACTTAAAGAACAAAAATTAAGAACAATTTTGAGGGACTTACAACACTTGAACTTAGTGACAACAACTCTATCCACGTCTTCAACCTGAGACAGATAAAGGCATGGGATTACTAAATTGGAAATATTATAAACTGTGCCTAGAAAAAAAAGTCTGACTGAGCAGAACCTAAAGTAACCCAAAAGAATAGTTAAATTTGAGCACATAAATCAATGGAAGTTACGCAAATGCATGATCATTTTAGCCTTAATCAAAACTTACTGACAAATCATAGTGTGTAAACACTAAAATGTGCATGCTTAGATAAGCTGATTTATCATAACAAGTAATAACCTAGCAACACTTGGGACTGTCTGTAAAAGAAATTGGAGAACTATAAAAGGGACAAGTCTACTTATAATTTTTTAAAATTAAGAATATGGTTTAATACAACGGAAGATTGAATGAAATATTTGTAATAAAAGTTGAAGCAAATGCATGGGAAAAAAGCATTACTGCCACTCATTGAGAAAATGCAAGTGTGCGATTATGACATTAAAAAAAAAAAAAAACAACAAAAATAAGATAATATATGTAATGCGAGATTCAACAATATTAAATCTTGTCCGACAAATCAACAACCAAGAATACATTATAGATGAAATAAAATCAAGAAAAGAAATATTAATTATACACTTGCTTACTGCCGAGAGAAGGTCGGCGACAAGAGAGCTAGAGGTTGTAAGCAAGTGTATAATGACTATTTCTTGTCATGATTTTATTTCATCTATGATGCATTCTTAGACGGGGATTTCATTTATCCATATAAAATCTTTGGTTTCTCTATTGTTATGTGATTCATACATGCTATTAGATTTCCTTTCTTGAATAGGTGGTTCACATGTGCTGTTGGGTTCTCCTTATTCTTCAAACAAAAATGTGAGAGAGAAGCATATTTTTCTTATGTGATGCAATGGTTGATGAATGAAAGAGCTAAATGGTAGATTTCATTGTTTGGTTAAAAGTGATATTATATTTTTTAATCAAAGGGATTTTTTATTTTGCTGATATAATTTCTTGAGTTTGGTATGCTTTTTTTATTTTAGATTGCGTAGTTTTCTTTGACCATACCTAAATCATTTACATATATAAGTTTTGTGTGATGAGTGGAGATGGGATCACTCATGAAAATGATATTTTCGTGACTGCTTAAAATTGATGGCTTGTTATCTAAATAGTGAGTCATATTGTAGAGAATATGAAGAATAAAAAAATGAAATTCTAAGTATGTTGCGGGCAATATATTTATTTTCCATCCCTTCTTTGCTCTTAAGAAAGAATGACTTGTCATTTCATTAGACCATCTATTTTGCTCATAATAGATAGTTTTTTTACTTAACAATTAATCTATTTTACTTTGCAAGTTTTTACTCGTTGTTGCTGAAGCCATTACTTCTTATTCTTTCTTATGATTGAAACAATAGAAGAACCTACAACCTGACTTCCCACGGACATTATTGATTCTACACTGCTCTTAGAGCAAACCCAATATGAATAGGGCTTCAAAGACGTTAACAGAGATGGCGTGGCCTTTGGAAAAGAGGAGGGGAGGGAGGTTGGCTTGAAGCATAGATTCCAAGTTGGTGAGGAACTGGGTTTTTATCGTGGTTGTGTAGAAGTTTGAAAATCAGCTATCATAATAGACTCAAATTCATTTTTTTCTCGTGTTCAGAAAACAATTGACCAGTTGTCGGAGCTAGCAGAGAATTATCCACTTTTTCAACCGGAGAATAAGAATGTTCAAGAAATGATAGACTCTATTAGGCTTAAGTTTATGATTATTTCAACAAATCTGGGTGTGAAGTTAGAGTATGAGGGGCACAATCGCACATCAAAACACGACCTAAAGCATATTACAGTCTAAATAAATATTATTCTTTACATAACCATATAAATTAATCTTGTAGTCTAACCAGTTTTACCTTTACAATACTTAAGATTTCTTTATTGTAGATTTTGCTTAATCCAATAGTGTGGACGATCAACATGCTAGTAATATAACCCATAATATGGTCGTATACTACTTTTCTCTATGTTTTACATGTAATATTTTCATGATTTAAGTAAGGTGATCTTGAACTCTCGTGGTCTTCTGTACTTTTTTCCCAAGTCCTCATGCCAATGAGTGTGTTTCTTATTTGGTATTTGTATTATATTATATGGCATATAAAAGTGGAAGAGAGAATGGAAAAGAGGAAGGCTCCATTTTGAAATAATGTTCTACTATTTTTTATATATGATATTTATAAATAGATGATTAAAGATTCATTTGAGGTAGCTTTTTTTTTTAAATAAAAATTTTAGTATAAAAATTATTGAATTAAGAATTTTTAATTAAAATATTATTTTAGAAAGCAATAAAACACGTATCACAAATGAAGCCGCTATTTTTTTACGCCCCTCATATACCAACTTCACTCCCAGATTTGTTAAAATAATCCTAAACATAAACCTAATAGAGTCCATCTCTTGAACATTCTCATTCTCCAGTTATAAATTCTAATACAAATTATGAAATAATTACTTTTATAAATTTATTTGAAATGAAAATTTATAAATAAAAAATTTTAATAATTCAATACAAAATATTACAATTTTATAAAATTTATATATAACGCCTTTAATATCAAAAACCAAATAAGCCAACAATGGGTTAAACTGATTAAAAAATCAATTAAGAATGATCTCATTATCTTAAAAAAAAGGATTAAATTGAATTTATTACTTTCACCGCATACTGAATGGTCACAATTCTTTAGCTGTATTTTAAGTATATGCTCTCTTATTTCTTGATATTAAAAAAAACGTGGTAAACATATTTAGGCTTCGTTTGAGAATAATTTTTATTGCTTTTCAAAATAATATTTTAATATAAACTTTTAATTCAAATTTTTTTTACTAAATTAAAAAATATAAAGAAAACTATCTCAAATGAAACTTTAATCATCTATTCATAACTCATATCTCATAAATAATATAATATTATTTTAGAATGGAGTCTTCCCCTTTTCTATTCTCTCTTCCACTTTTATAAGTCATATAGTATAATACATATACCAAACAAGAAACATATTAAGTGGCATGTGGCCTTCTGGAAAAAAGTAGGGAAGAACACATGAGAGTTCAAGATCACCTTACTAAAATCATGAAAATATTACATGTAAAACATCGAGAAAAGCAGTACACGGACATATTATGGACTGTATTGCCAGCAATGTTGCTTGAGATGTTGATCATCCAGACTATTAGATTAAGCAAAATCTACAACAAAGAAATCCAAAGTATTGTAAACGTAAAACTGATTAGACTAAAAGATTAATGTATATGGTCTCATATAAAGACTGATATTCCTTTATACTGCAATATCATCCAGGTCATGTTTTAATGTGTGACTCTGACCCTCATACTCTAACTTCACACCCATATTTATTGAAATAAACCTAAACTAAACCCTAATAAAGTCCATCGCCTCTTGAACATTCTCATTCTTCAATTGAAAAAGTTGATAACTCTCTGCTAGCTCCGACGACTGTTCAATCCTCTTCTGAACAAGAGAATAAAATGAATTTAGGTCTATTCTGATACCTAATTTCCTAACTTCTACACAGCCACGATAAAAACCTAGTTCCTCGCCAGCTTGGAATCTGTGCTTCAAGCTAACCTCCCTCCCCTCCTCTTTTCAGAGGCCAAGCCATCTTTGTAACCGTCTTTGAAGCCCTCTTCATACTATGTTTGCTCTAAGAGCACTGTAGAGTTAAGGAAGTCCGTGGGAAGTCGAGCTATAGGTTCTTCCATTGTTCCAATAATAAGGAAGAATAAGCAGTAATGGCTTTAGCAACAACGAGTAAGAATCTGTAAAGTAAACTAGCCTCATTGCTAAGTAAAAAACTATCTATTATGAACAAAGTAGACGCTCTAATGAAATGGCAAGTCATTCCTTCTTAAGAAGGTGCAACAAGCTAGTTAAAAAAATCTCTTACACAAGCAAGTACTAAGATGATAAATCAATAATATAAGAAGTCAACTTAAAAAAGTGTAAGAAGTGCATAAAACACCATTCAAAATAGGATATAGAGAGGAGTTCACGTATGTAGCATTGCCCCTGCATTTGTAGAGGTATATTTTATAAGCCCAAACTCAGGCCTTCCAGATCACAATGGAAGCAAAGCTTCCCTAAATACTTTGACAAATCACAACAGAAAATTAGAAACTATGGAATAATTTAATTAATCCGCAAGCAGAAATGTGTGTACTTAGTATAAAAAGAAAATAGTTTAAGGTTTGCCTTATTTGTCAATAGCAACTAGTGTCCTTTAGCACAAAGATCCCATGGAGCCATAATGAATAGCATGACATGACATACTATTTTAAAATAGTTTAAATATTAAAATTCAAGAATAATTTATTTAAATTTAACAGTATAAAAAATAAAATTCATAAGATAAAAATGTATAATTAGTATGATATAAATAAATATAACATGACTTCAATGTCTTAAAAATGTGCATCAAAGGCCCATGTCAATTTTATTAGAATCATATTAATTTCACAATAACATCATATTAATTCATGACATTACATAATTTAGCTGAAAGCAAATGAACTTTGAGATAGAAAGGTAAAGCAATAAGAACGGGAAATAATTTCAATCAGCTTGAGATGAACATAATTAAGCACCGATTTTTTACCTGAATAAATTAATTGAACAATGCCAATCTATTATTAAATATATTTGATCTACAGCTAAACATATAAGTTATTCTTCATCCAATCTTTAGTTCATGCATTCAAAGTTGAACTTTAATAATAAATGCCATGAAACATAAAACAACAATAAAAAAGGAATACAATTGAAAGAGCAAAGGGAAGTGGATGGATAAATATCAGGCCCTTTAGCAACAAAAAGTAATCCGACTAAAGTAAGTATATGATAATCTTTGAAATAAATGTCATAGTTTATCTATCATATCTAATTATATTTACATTTTTAAAGTATAAAAAAGGTGAATTTTC